TTTAGGGTAAATAACTTCTCCTGGACACATATACATGTGCAGAAATAGACTGGAAGTGTGTGCACCAAAACTCTGGCCGGGCTAGTAGAAAGATGAGTTCTCCTTTCCTTCTACCCCTGTGTGTCATCATTCCTAATACTTCTACAGAAGTATTCTATCCAGATAGCATTCATGTTCAAGCCAGAGTACAAGGGTGATGCTGGGTAGCAAAATGTCATTTCTGAGCCACGTTAACCCCTGCAGGGACATGGTGAGAATCTGGAGTTGGCACCATGGGCTCTGCCTCTCAGACTAGGGGAGACACGGTTTGGAAATCAATGATTCTAGCCTTCCAGGGCCAAAGGAGGAAACTGTTTCAGAGCAGAGCAGAGAGTTGGTGGGGCTGTCCACTCAGGGGTAGCACTTATAAGAGGGGGGCCCGCAGAACCTGTTCCCAGCTCTTGCCCTCGCGTGCCCCTGTCAGAGCGCATCCTGTTGCAGGTCCCCAGGGGCCCTTCACCTGCCTCAGGCGATGGCTCCAGGTCAACCACTCCGTTTTAATGTCCTTTGTGCCTTTGTGTGGAGTCTTCCATTGTGTGTGAGGGGAAGGGGAAGGGATGATGAGGTGGGGGATCTAGTCTTAAAGCTGATTTTTTAAAAAATCTTATTAAATTATAGTTGACTTACAACATTGTGTTAATTTCTGCTGTGCAGCAAAGTGATCCAGTTACATATACACATACACACACATTCTTTTTTATGTTCTTTTCCACTATGGTTTGTCACAGGATATTGAGTATAGCTCCCTGTGCTATAGACTAAAGCCTTGTTGTTTATCCATTCTATGTATAACAGTTTGCATCTGCTAACCCCAAAGTCCCACTCCATCTTTGGCCCACCTCACCCCCTTGGCAACCACAGGTCTGTTCTCTATGTCTGTGTGTCTGTTTCTGTTTCGGAGATAAGTTCATTTGTGCCACATTTTAGATTCCACATAAGTGATATGGTGTTTCTATTTCTTTATCTGACTTACTTCGCTTAGTATCGCAATCTCTGCTGCTGCTGCTAAGTCGCTTCAGTCGTGTCCGACTCTGTGCGACCCCATAGATGACAGCCCACCAGGCTCTGCCATCCCTGGGATTCTCCAGGCAAGAACACTGGAGTGGGTTGCCATTTCCTTCTCCAATGAGTGAAAGTGAGAAGTGAAAGTGAAGTCGCTCAGTCGTGTCCGACTCTCCGCAACCCCATGGACTGCAGCCTACTAGGCTCCTCCATCCATGGGATTTTCCAGGCAAGAGTACTGGAGTGGGGTGCCATTGCCTTCTCAATAGCAATCTCTAGATCCATGTAAATGGCATTATTTCATTCTGGGTTTCTTTTTTGGCTGAGCAGTATTATATATACGTACCGCATCTTTATCCATTCATCTGTTGCTGGACATTGAAGTTGCTTCCATGCCTGGCTATTGTGAATAGTGCTGCTGTGAACATAAGGGTGCATGGACCTTTTTGAATCAGAACTTTCTCCAGATAAATGCCCACCAGTGTGATTGCTGGATCGTATGGCAACTCTACTTTTATTAGTTTTCTGAGGAACTGCCATACTGTTTTCCACAGTGGCTGCACCAACTGACATTCCCACCAACAGTGTAGGAGGGTTCCCCTCTCTCCATGCCTTCTCTAGCATTTGTTATTTGCAGACTTTTAAAAAATATATTTATTTTTAATTGGAGGATAATTGCTTTAGAATGTTGTGTTGGTTTCTGCCATACATCAACATGAATCAGCCATAGGTGTACATATGTCCCCGCCCGCTTGAACCTCCCTCCCACCTCCACCCCATCCCACCTGTCTAGGTTGTCACCGAGCACCTGGTTTGAATTTGCAGACTTTTAAATGATAGCCATTCTGACTGGTGTAAGGTGATACCTTGCTGTAGTTTTGATTTGCATTTCGATAGTAATTAGCGACTTTGAGCGTATTTTCATGTGTCTTTTGGCCATTTGTATGTCTTCTTTGGAAAGATGTCTGATTAGGTCTTCTGCCCATTTTTAAGTTGGGTTATTTGTGGGGTTTTCTGTTCTTGTTGAGTTCTATGAACTGTTTGCATATTTTGGAAATTAAGCCCTGGTCGGTTGCATCATTTGCAAATACTTTCTCCCATTCTGTAGGTGTCTTTTCATCTTGTTTATGGTTTTCTCTGCTGTGCAAAATTAAAGCTGGTGTTTTAAAGTCGGGCTTTCCTGGTGGCTCAGGTGGTAAATTCACTTCTCTCCTCTGTTACTGTTTTCCCTTCTACTTCTCCCTCTCTAATCCAAAATAAGTTAATAACTATTTATGATGATGGTGATAATAATAATTATTATTATTGCCATTGTAAAGTGAAGTCGCTCAGTCATGTCCGACTCTTTGCGACCCTGTGGACTTGTGCCCATGGGATTTTCCAAGCAAGAGTACTGGAGTGGGTTGCCATTTCCTTCTCCAGGGGATCTTCCCAACCCAGGGATCGAACCCCACTCTCCCACATTGTAGGCAGATGCTTTACCATCTGAGCCACTAGGGAAGTCTCTGTATTGCCATTATAGTCCTCCTAAAGAGGTTGCAGAGTTACCTAGGAACACAGGAGGAGAGGTAGGGTATTAATATAATGATAAAGCTTTTAGGGAAAAACTCAGCATCTTTTTACCAAGAGAACCAATGAATATGGAATTTAACTCCAGCCAAGGTAGTCCAATGATCATAGAATATTCTGAAATAAGATTCCAAGGTACTAACTATAATGATAAAGATCACAATTCTAGATCATTACACAGTGTGATTCATGATTTAAGTCCAGAGTGGAACTTACAAGGAAGCCTAAGAGCTAGGCTGGAATTCACAAATGTATCCTCTGGGACAGAACAGTGTGGCGCCTTGGACTGCTGGGAAATCTGCAGGGACAAGACTCCAAGGCACAGCCCCTAGGAGAGGACAGGGGGCTCTCTTAGGTTCTGAACAAGGTTCAAACTTGCAGTCCAGGGTCAGATCCAGGGTGAAGTAGAGAGCTAGGGGGTCATCAATCTTGCCCCGCCGCGCCCCTGCCAACTCACCCTCAGGAAGTCTGACAGAACTTCCCAGGAGCCCAGGAAGGACTCTGGTCACAGAGCAAAGTGGGTCCTGGTGGGTAACCCTCCACAAGCAGGTTATTTCCTCAAGTGACAAAAAGCTTTCTGGGAGACAATTTGTATGAAGGGTCAAACTGAGGCCTTAGGGTGTTATCAGGATGCTAAGTATTTTGACCTTCATCACTGCCCCATGAAAGCACAAAAAATAATGGGTCCTCCCCAGCTCATTAGCTCACCCCAATCCTTTAGGTAAGGAGACAGTTCTGGCAACACAGACAGTTGGAACACCAGAAAATGCTAAGGGTGAGAGGTGGAGAGAGTCCTGGGTGAGCCACAGCCGTGCCACCAGAGAACCACAGTAAATCCCCATCCTCCTCAAAATACCCTTGGACCCTTGCCCGTCCCCGGGTGTGGCAGAAATGACCACACGTCAGCACCCGTTGGGGGTTGTCAAACCCAGACTGGGGACTGTGAGATCCTGGTGGTTGCAGCTGAGCGGGGAGAGACAACAGATTGCAGGGCCCCACCCCAGAGCTTCTGCATCTGAAGTTCCTGGGCAGGGTCCCAGTTTTGCATTTCTAACAAATTCCCAGGTGCTATTGACGCTGCTGTCCCAGGGACCCTATGTTGAGAACTATCAAGAATAGTACCTACTATTCACCAGAACAGAATGCTCTAGCACACGTATTCACTCAGAAGTGGGGAGGGGATGGAGAAAGGGAAAGTAGCTTTAGTAGTTTTTTAAAGGTGTTTATTAGTTCGTGAGACTTTACTTGAGAAAAAAATCTTAATGCCAAAATACCCCACGTTTTAAAACCTGCTTTTGAAACGTATTCATATACTAAAGGTTACACATATGAAAAGGAAATCTACATGCCTTTTAAAATGAATCATTTTCATGAAAGACACTTGGCTCAGAGGACCTACTGATTTTACCATTTCAGCACTTTACTGGGTGTTTTGTGGGGCTTGCGGGAAGTGGGTAAAAAGATAAGTCACATAAAACTCTGTATGTCGCCATGACAAGTGGTAGTGAGGCTGAAGGGGAAGTGATGTTGTTTCAGGGGAGGGCAATGTGGTGCGGGGTGAAACAACATGGGGCGAGGGCATTAGGGTCAGTAATTTGGTTTCCATCTCCCACCTCTCCCAGACAGGTAAGGGAGACAGAGTTAGCCCTTCTCTAACTTTTGGAGATTCACTTTCTCATGTCTCAGTGGCTCACCTCGTAATTCTTGGATTCCTTTTCCGAATCAAATAAAGAAAAGGCACATACGCATCTCTGGAGGAAAATGTCTGTATTAAAAGCCAAAAAAACACAGAGTACAAGAAGAAACGCCCATCTGGCCACGTCACTGGATAGATCGACTTGGAAAAAGGTTCATAAAGTTCATTTTCAGCGGTAACAATATATCGGTGTTAAATCATTCCCGTGCCCCCCTTTTAAATAAATTAAAAAACAACAAATTTCAAATACTATGTTCAGATACAAAGAGCTCCTCTGACTACAGCAATAGCCATTTGATTTTTTTTTTTACTAAAACTTTCATTTAAAACAGTTATTAAATATATAAAACAAATACACAGGATTTGGTCGTTTTCTGCCATGAATATAGGGCACGTGGGTGCGGGGAGGGAGGAGGGCAGGGTGCGCAAAAAAGGGGAAGGGGCCCCATTTCCCTCTTCTCCGTCTTCCAAGCTGCGGGTCCCACCCTGCAGGGCGAAGGCTTGCATTTGCTTTTCGGAGCCCGAAGCGGGGCACAAACCTGGCTTTTCCCACACGCTGGGGCCTCTTCGGCGGCCCCCTCCCCCGAAGAAGAACTAACGGTCACTACAGCACGAAGCACACCGGCCGAGTCTCCCGGCGGGAAAGGCACCGAGAGCGCGGACACAGGACGGACACGGGAAGGAGCGGGGCGGGTCACTTGGTCGCCGTCCCCGAGGTGACAGCCGCGGCGGCGGCCGCGGCGGCAGCAGCGGCGGCGGCGGCGGCGGTGGTCCCCGCGGGCACGGCCGCGGGGGCGGCGGCGGCGGCGCTGGCGGTGGTCCGGCGCTGCTCCATGCCGTTGGGCAGGAAGCCGGCGATGATGGGCACAGGCCAGATGAGGGCGGCCACGCTCCACACGACGATGACCAGGGTCATGAAGCAGGCCACCAGAGTGGACTCGATGGGCTTGCGGTTCAGCCGCCAGCCCGGCTCGCCCTGCAGCTCCTCCAGGCTGAAGTCCAGGCAGCAGAAATGCAGCGGCTCGCCCTGCAGCCACAGCGGCCCGGGGGGCTCGGCCGCGGGGTAGGCGGGCAGAGCGGTGGGCGCCCCGGCGGTGGCGCCGGTGGGCCGGAGGCGGCCCGGGCGGCGGCCGCGCACCCAGCCGCAGCCCACGCAGAGGCGCAGGTCCTGCTGCGCGCCGCCCGCCGCCAGCCCCAGGTGCTCGATGAGCAGCGGCGGCCCGACTCGGTGGAAGGCGGCGGCGAAGAAGGCGCGGCCGTGCGCGTTGGTGGAGAAGAGCAGCAGGTCGCACTGGAAGCCCCGCGGGCGGCCCCAGCGCACAAGCAGCGAGCTCAGCATCTGCCGCTGCACGCTGATGTTGCACGGCGCCGCCGCCTCCTCCTCCGGGCGCTCGGGGGCCCCAGGCGCAGCCGAGGTCAGCAGCCGCGGGGCGGCCGGCTCGTCTGAGGAGGACGCGTTGACCGAGGCGTTGAGGGGCGCCCCGAGGAGGCCCGGAGCGTCCACAGCCCCGCCGCGAGCGGGCGGCAGCGGGCAGGCGGCGGCCAGCAGCGCGGCAAGCAGGGGCAGCATGGCCTGCGGCGGGCGCCTACGCGCGCGGGGCTGGCGGTGGCTGCATGGCGCGCGGGAGACGGGTCGGCGAGCGGACGGCGGGATCGCGGGGGCTGGCGGCGGGCGGAGTGAAGACGCGTCGGACCCCCAGTCAGGCCCGCGCGGGGGCGGCGCGGAGGCGGGGGCGGCGGCTCGCTTGGCGCGGGCCTCCCTCCCGGCCCGGCGGCGTCTGGGGTTCCCCGCCAACCCCCGCGCGGGGTCCCTCGGACGGCCAGGCAGCTCTACTGGGCCGGGCGCTCGAGGGGAGCAGGAATCCCCGACTCGGCTCCGCCTCCCGCGCGCCCCGCCCCGCCCCGTCGCGCCCCGCCCACCGCCCGCGCCCCGCCCACCGCCCGCGCGCAGCTCGGAGACTCCGGGGAGGGCGGGGTTGCACGTCCCGCGGCGGGGGCGGGGGCGTGGCCGGGGGCGTGGCCGGGGGCCGAGACGGGTGCAGGCCGCGTGCGGGGGTGGGGCTCCGAGGCTTGCGCGCGGGCGCGGCCGCGGCGTCTGTGGAAAACGTCCGATAGTCGTGGTGGGGGTGGGCAGGGCCGGTGGATTTTGCGGACGCGCCCTAGCGGCCCGGCCACACCGCCGGAGTCCAGGTCCAAGCGGAGAAGGCACTCAGAGAATTGCGTTCCTTTGAGGGAGGCTCGAGAGCCCGGCGACCAGGTCACGCCTGAGGAGGCCGTGTGGTGTCTCACCTTAGTGCTCTCCGGACCCCGCTCCTTTCACAGAGGTAAAACTGAGGCGTCCCCCGGTCACCGCAGGAGCCAGAACCAGAACTCCTGGCCACCGTGTCTCCTCAAGTCTGGAGAGTTCGGCTGGTTTTTAATGTGCCTCCAACACAATAGATCCACTTGGTATTCTCACAGCAAGCAGACCCCAAGGAAAATTCCAAGAACTCTGTGGAGTTGAGGTGCAGGAATTCTGGTGGGAATGTGAGCCCCGTAGCGGTTCTGGGGTTCCCAGGAAAGAAGCCCTGTCTGGCAGGTCCGATGAGCACGGTATTTATGAAAGATTCTATGTAGAACGTGTTCAAGGGAAGATTCATCCCCGTTAGGGCATTAAGTGGAGGAAAGCCTATCAAGAATAACGTGCCAAGATTAGATTTATGTGCTTAAAAAAAAAACCCCACTTTTCTAGCAATTTGGCCTTTTACACTTGTTAAGAAAAATTCCCTGATGCCCCTTCAAGAGAATAACCCTGTGGTTTGAAGCCAGTGTGCCCCTGGAGCACTGGCTATTCCTGAGTCTGAGAGGAAAGGAGTGTGGAGAGCAGAAACAGGCCCTCAGCGAAATGACACTGGCTCTAAACCAGCTTCCTTTCCTAAAAAGAACATTGCTAGACCTGGTGGCTGATTACATGTCTGGCAGATTTATCCATTGTATCTAACAGTGAGTCAAACCAGGTTGAGGAAGATGTAAAAACAGCTCCAAAATATAGGTCCCAAACCTACCTGGCTTCTTTCTAGCGGAGCAAGCTATTATTCTAACTTGGCCTTGGCTTCCCCATATGAACACTGGGGTCAGTGGTACCTGCCTTGCAGGGTTGGTGTGATCAGTGCGCTCACCCCAGTGTCTGTCCATCCGTCCACAAAGGTGCTTGTGTGTGGCTGAAGAGATGTAGCTCCTATCAGTTCAGAACAGGCTAGCTGGAATGATCTTTGGTATCTACAGAAATGATTAATATCCCCCAAGGAGCCGGGACTCCCCTTTTGTTTAAACCTTCATCACTTTTCTGCTGGGAAGAAAGCTATCAGAGAAGACAATGTGAACTTTCGTGCTTTTATTAAAAATTAGTTTTCCTTTTAACCTTGCATGTCAGGTACAGAATCTTCTGTCTGATCTGGCAGAGCTGTTTTAATCTGAGCCATGTGGCTGGTGAACAGCCTCAGAACAGGGGCCTCAGGTGATCCTGAAGGCTGAGAGTCACCCAGTTTTCAATGGGTGGGTTTTAAGTCCACTGTCTTTGGCAGCGAGGGATGCTCTCTAGGATTTGACCAGGAGGTAGGAGCTCTCTGGCTTTGTCTGAGCAGGGAGGCAGCAGCAGAGGGAGATGACAAAGAACCAGTTGTGGAGCCAAACAGTTAAGTGCAAAGCTGTGCCACCAGTGCATCCTGGGAAGCCGAATTCTGCCCACTTTCCATCTTATGCTATGGACTCCAACACAGTGCCCTCATTCAAAGGGACAGCCATACAGTCCTAGAATGATTTGCTTTCTTTGGGGGCAATAGGGATTTGAGTAGATAAGATAGAATTATTTTCAGTTTTGTTTACTGGTGTGTTACCAGAAACAGAAGAAGCACCGAACACAGGGGAGAGAGGGCCTGTGGTGGTTTTTTTTTTTTTGTTCTTTTTCTTTCTGGCGATTTATGTTTTGCTGTTTTTAGTCAGTGTTTGTTGATTGGACAAATTTGCCTGTTTGCTAATAGCTCTGACAAGCCACCATTTATTGAGTACTTTCCACATGCCAGGTTTTACACATCATCTCTACTCTTTTCAACAATCCCATAGTGATACCTATTTTACAGTGAAAAAACTAAGGCTCAGAGAGGGTGAGTAATTTACCTGAGGCCTCACAGAAGCTGGTGACAAAGCCAGGATGTCAGTCTGGTCTTCATTGATTCAGAGTTTGTGCTTTTTAAAAAACTGGTTGTGTCTTGTCTTACAGAGGTTGGGTTCCAAAGTCTGTGCATAAGTTAAATGACTATATGACATAATTTTCTTTTATCTTGAGAAAAATTTTTGGATGAGTTTCTTTTTATTTTATTCATAAAAAAATTTTTAAACTTTTTTTTGGCTGTGCCCCATGCCATGTGGAATCTTAGTTCCCTAATCAGGGATCAGACCTGAGCTTCCACCCCCTGTGGTGGAAGCACAGAGTCTTAACCACTGGACTTCCAGAGAAGTCCCAAGTTTCTTTTTAAAGATATGCATATATTATAAACATAACAGCATTAGACAAAGATTGGAAAACAGTGGAGGAAACTACTAGAAACCCGGTTACCTGATTCTCTACTTCTCTGCATCATTATTCTCTTCTGCAGTCTTCATAGTCTCTAAATGTACCACTAACACTCTGGGTAAAAAAGGAAATTAAAATCCCACTGTCTTTTGCAACCATTATCACTTTGTGCTCTTCCCTTCAGCCCAGTGGGGATCTGGGGGGTCTACCCAGGAGCAAAGGGCACTCAACACACAGTTGCTGACTGAGTTAGCCTCCTGGTTAAGAACTCTGCCTGAGCCACAGGCAGAGGCCTGATGGTTAATTGTGGCTTCTGGTCCCTTCTCTGATCCATCTCCTTACCAGTTTCCCTTCTCCTCGCTGGCTCTGTTCCAGGTATCCTGGCTTCCTTGCTAGAACACAGCAAGCACATCTAGACTTAGAGCCTTTGCCCAAGTTGTTTCCCCTGCTTGGGATGTTGTTCTTTCTGGCAGCCGTCTTTCTTGTTCCCTCCCTTCCTTCAGATCTCTGCTGAGATATCAGATTCCCCAGAGGGGCCTTGCCGGACCATTTCTGTAAGACATCACCCATTACCGGCATCCCCATCCCTCTCCATCCTCTCGTGCAGTGTTCCCTGTCTTCCTGGTACTTACTGTCAGCTGACACACTGGGTGTGTTCTTTGTTTAATGTCTCCCTTCTTTGGAATGCCTGATCCCCCAAAGCAAGACTTTCATCTGTTTTGTTCAATGAAACGATGCGTCGCACATAGTAGAGGTTCAGTGACTAGCTGACGAATGAGTGAGTGAATTCAGTAGACCAGGCTGACCCAGCAGGCAGGATGTGGGCAGGAGTTAGGGACTTGAGATGGACAGAGCCGTACCAGTTTCACAGCAACAAGACTCACACAGCCGTTCCCAGCTTGCAGGCCAAGGAGCCACCCCCTGGCCCTGCCCTGCCCTGCCCGGAACCGGCGGAGGAGCCAGGTCTCGTGGGGAACCACATGGCCAGGCAGAGTTTGACCTGGAAGACGGCACTAAACTCACAAACCCAGCAGTACTTAGGGGTGTGAGCCAGGGCAAGCTGAATGACTGGGAGGAACATCCCAGATGAGCCCAGACTTCCCTTCTGTCTAAGGAAGAAAGGCAAATGACACTCCTTCCATCTCCTCAAGTCTTGTCATTTTTATCAAACAGAGATTTGATAAATCTCTGTTTTATCTATAAAACACAAATAGCAAGTTTTATCTACATGGACTGTATTGTTAGAAAACAACCATGAGGATTTCAAAGAAAATAATTAGTAATGATGCCCAGTTGTTTCATTTTTTTCATTTCCTGTGTCCCTCCCAGGTGTCAGCTAATTTTTCCTTAGTCTGCCTATTGAAGTTATACTTAACAAAAAGATCTCTCTGGGTTATTTGAATTCCTTTCATCTAAGGACCTCAGAGTGCCACAGGTACAGTAATTCCTTAGTTCTCTCTTATTACGTGGGTGGAATGAAGAGGATATTATTACCACACGCTGTAGCCTGAGAAGCAAGAACCACAAAAGAATCATAAAAATAGGACAGAGGAAAGAGGGGCTTAAAATGAGGGTTCAGCTACGTCAGAATCACTGGTGAAGGTTGTGGTAGTTGGCTTGGTGTGCATGTTGGCAGAGGTGGAGGGGTGGGGGGTGGCGCTAGGAAATGGGGGAGGAATTCTTTTCATGCCTGTATTCCCTGAGATATCCCATTCCTCAGATGGGAAACTTGACAGATCACAGAACTGCTTCTGAAGAGCTGGGCCTTTGTACCAGTCACTGGGGGAGGGCTGGGAGCCCCCAGTGTTGGGCGATTAGACCAGTCCTGTGTCCTCTGCTTCCAGACTGCTTCGTGACGTCCCTGAGTGGCTCAGCCAGACCTCCAGGATGTGGATCTTTATCCTTCCCGACCACTGTGGTCAGAAGAGAGATCTCCCTCCACTCACTTCTGGCAGCAATTATAGCCCACACAATTCATTTGGCAATTAATCATGGGCTGCCTTGGGACGAGGCTGCTG